CCGATGCATCAGCGGGTGTTGCATTGCTTCAGTCCAAAAGACGTGAAATAAAAAACCACCTTTTCATAAAAAAAGTGTCTCACACGGCTCCGGGGGGTGAACAAAGGCCTTCTGTAGCGAATCCATGCGTTTTTGTAAGAAAAATATCCATATTTAAAACGTAATAATCACTTGAATCTAGCTTGAGCTCACAGTTGTAAAACGGAAGCAGTTCTGGGGGAATGAGTATGAGGTCAGCTTTGCGCATGCACCGCTCAGAAGTGACGCACGCGGAGAGATCGAAACAAAACAGTGGTCACTAATTAGAAGTACAAAATGTGGATTTGTAAAGAAGAATGTCGGAGGATTTTGATATAAGCCAAGAGGAGACTGGTTTTCCTTTGCTAAAGTAAGGAATCTTTGCTTCTTTTGATCCTGTAAACAAACGTTGGTTTTCACGAGACTCACCGGCGCATGCGCAGCGCTGACCCCATACGTCATCCGCCCAGAGCTGCTTCTGTGTACAACTGCTGGCGCAAGCTAGATTATAGTGATTATTGCGTTTTGAATATGGATATTTTTCTTACAAAAACGCATCGATTCGCTACAGGAGGCCTTTGTTCACCCCCCGGAGCCATGTGAGACACTTTTTTTTATGGAAAGGTGCTTTTTATTTCACGTCTTTTGAACCGAAGCAATGCAACACCCATTGAGTGCAACGATAGAGCTTGAAAGATCAAAGAAAAGTTTTATTATAACTCCGACTGGACTCGTCTGAAAGAAGAAAGTCATATACACCTAGGATGCATCGGGGTGAGTAAAACGCAGCCTAATTTTCATTTTGGGGTGAACTAACCTTTTAACTTAACACTTTACAAATGTAATTTCATTTAACATAATACAATTTAGTGCAAATGAGAACTGTGTGTGCCGTGTCTGATTAGACATAACCGAGCAAATGCTTTGGCCATTTTTATTCTTTCAAACATTCACAATGCTATTGTGCGGTAGCACAGAAAACCAACCAGATGATGGAACCTCAGTAGACAGGATGCTAAATGAGATGAGTTCCTCTGAACATCTAAAGACTTTGTCAGAATCATGTTGCGACTGTGAAAAATTTTCAGGAGGCAGGTTGTGTAATCTGTGTGATTAACCTACATAATATGTCACAGTTGCAAATTTGGGACTCAATCTTTCAATCATTTCCGCTGATGTTATATAAAAACAGATGAGTGATTTGCTAACATGTGAATGTCTCTCACGTTGACTTCAGGTGTTTGCTGATAAGGAGGTCATTCTCAGCGGTGGAGCCATAAACTCCCCACAGCTCCTCCTGCTGTCTGGAGTGGGAAACGCAGATGAACTTCGCAAACATGATATTCCCGTTATACAGCATCTTCCAGGTGACCCCATTTCCTTCTTTACGGGATGTATCTTCAAGATACTTCAGACCAGGTCCACAGTTAACATGCGAGTAAATACTGGCTTTAGCGAGGGAGTAAAATGGGCTTTACTGGCAAACTGGCTGTTAACTTTAAAGTAGGCATGAAACAGAAGTTGTGAAAGATTTTAGTAATGCATTATTATTATTATCTCTTGTGGAAAAGAAGTACACTTTATTATACTTTTTCACTTTATAACTCTAAAAATAGCAGTTATCAGGTACTTTATAATCCAGATGACAGGAGAGTACTTAATTGTAAGTATAAGGTTAGGTGTTTTTTTTAGGCTCCTGAATGAACTAGTTTACTGAAATTTTTACTGAAAATGTTAGCAAAAATATTTTTTTTCCCCATCTAGATTATAAAATACCCACTAATGCTATTTTTTAGTGTTTTTCAGTGAGTAGTGCATCTGCAGCAAATGACACTCATCAACGCTCGCATTGTTATCTGACAAATTTTAAAGCTAGTGCTGTCAAAATTTGCGTGTTAATGTGTGCGATTAATTTTTCAAGTTTAATGGCATTAAAAATATTTAACGCAGGGCTGGAGCTTGGGTTGGCCACCCCACTCACAACTGCAGCTTCGGTCTCCTTTTTTTTTTTTTTTGACAAGAATTGCATTTATTTAGATGCAGAACATCTTTGCGACCACATCAAACAGGAGACTTTTCAGATGCACACTCAACTTCACCTCAGCGCCAGGTGAGAGTTAAACGAGCGTGGAAACAGTAACGAGGTGACGAGGAGCTTCAGCAGAACATCAGTGAACTGTGGTCAGATAAGAGGTTGTCAGGCTATATGTCAGTAAAAACAAATTTTCCTGTCCTGTCAGCTGTTATACTGTGCTTGTAACACGTGCTCTACAATTGCACGCACAAATACGGCGGCGCACGCTGTAGCCTGTTTCCTTCCATATTAAAGCGTGAATGAAACTACAAGCATGCGTGTCAGATCTGCGTCACATCAACGGCAGCTCTTAAAGTAATAGCAGCCAAATAACATCATAACCAGCTGCTGTGATGTCTGTTTATCAAAGAACAAAAGAAAAAAAAAGAGGAAATCAATAACTTTTGTACCTTTAAAGGTCACATATTTTACACCTTTCTGGAGTTTTATTTTAGGTTTCTCCCTCAGGAGCTCTGCTGAGAACAGGTCGATTTTGGCCTGTCTAATTAATATTCATGAGCCTCTCTTCTGATTGGCCTGTTGTTTTCTGAGTGACGCACGGCCAGGCCAACCACAGGTAACTAGGGTCAGCCGACGTCACAGCGCTAGCTGGTGGCAGCAAAAAGGGCTGTTCGATTCCGAAATTTGTGGAATCTAGTCCGATTCCGATTGCTGGTTCTGGAATCGATTCCAAGAATTGATTCCTCACTGTTGTTTTCGATTCTATTTTTTTTAGATTGAAGGCACCTATAATCTCACCATGACTGCAGGATAAAGGTCGTAGAAAGTATCCTTCTCATAATATGAAGCTTTATTTGTAAATAAAAAAAAATTACGATACATAAATTGTATGTAATTTTAATTGCAAATTATATATATTTAATTTAATTTAATTGTGTAGACATAATTTTGTCTGCTTTGCCCCGTGAAATTAGTCATAGCCCACAGCTATAACCGGGACATGCGTTTATCGCATGAATTGAACAAGACATGAAGTGTCTAAAATAAATGTGCACAGTTCAGCTAAATGATGAAGTTTACTTTAACTGTAGGCCTTTTCTTTGCACAAAATTAACAAACTGTACACTGAAACAAAATAACCAGAACATTAACAATAACTGATAGAGCTCGTGGTTTATCTGTCAATCAGATGCGTTCTGGGCCACTGATCTATGCTCGGGACATTTTCTTTTATAATTATCATTGGCTGATAGAAATGTATTAAAAATATTTAACGCAGGGCTGGAGCTTGGGTTGGCCACCCCACTCACAACTGCAGCTTCGGTCTCCTTTTTTTTTTTTTTTGACAAGAATTGCATTTATTTAGATGCAGAACATCTTTGCGACCACATCAAACAGGAGACTTTTCAGATGCACACTCAACTTCACCTCAGCGCCAGGTGAGAGTTAAACGAGCGTGGAAACAGTAACGAGGTGACGAGGAGCTTCAGCAGAACATCAGTGAACTGTGGTCAGATAAGAGGTTGTCAGGCTATATGTCAGTAAAAACAAATTTTCCTGTCCTGTCAGCTGTTATACTGTGCTTGTAACACGTGCTCTACAATTGCACGCACAAATACGGCGGCGCACGCTGTAGCCTGTTTCCTTCCATATTAAAGCGTGAATGAAACTACAAGCATGCGTGTCAGATCTGCGTCACATCAACGGCAGCTCTTAAAGTAATAGCAGCCAAATAACATCATAACCAGCTGCTGTGATGTCTGTTTATCAAAGAACAAAAGAAAAAAAAAGAGGAAATCAATAACTTTTGTACCTTTAAAGGTCACATATTTTACACCTTTCTGGAGTTTTATTTTAGGTTTCTCCCTCAGGAGCTCTGCTGAGAACAGGTCGATTTTGGCCTGTCTAATTAATATTCATGAGCCTCTCTTCTGATTGGCCTGTTGTTTTCTGAGTGACGCACGGCCAGGCCAACCACAGGTAACTAGGGTCAGCCGACGTCACAGCGCTAGCTGGTGGCAGCAAAAAGGGCTGTTCGATTCCGAAATTTGTGGAACCGATTCCGATTGCTGGTTCTGGAATCGATTCCAAGAATTGATTCCTCACTGTTGTTTTCGATTCTATTTTTTTTAGATTGAAGGCACCTATAATCTCACCATGACTGCAGGATAAAGGTCGTAGAAAGTATCCTTCTCATAATATGAAGCTTTATTTGTAAATAAAAAAAATTACGATACATAAATTGTATGTAATTTTAATTGCAAATTATATATATTTAATTTAATTTAATTGTGTAGACATAATTTTGTCTGCTTTGCCCCGTGAAATTAGTCATAGCCCACAGCTATAACCGGGACATGCGTTTATCGCATGAATTGAACAAGACATGAAGTGTCTAAAATAAATGTGCACAGTTCAGCTAAATGATGAAGTTTACTTTAACTGTAGGCCTTTTCTTTGCACAAAATTAACAAACTGTACACTGAAACAAAATAACCAGAACATTAACAATAACTGATAGAGCTCGTGGTTTATCTGTCAATCAGATGCGTTCTGGGCCACTGATCTATGCTCGGGACATTTTCTTTTATAATTATCATTGGCTGATAGAAATGTAAAAAAAAAAAAAAAAAAGTATTTTAGATGGAAATAAGATCAAGACCCTCGATCACGTCATGATCTATTCTGTCGTGCAGCGCTCAAAATTGTGGACAAGCCAGTTCCACCGTAAAATAACCTCTGAATCGTTTTTTTGAACTGGTTCATTAAAACTATCTATCGGATTCAGGAAGCTAATCAGAATTCTAATCACTTTTAGTGAGCATGAGGGAGGCGAATGGTTATAAAAATAATCTTTTATCTCACAACTCTCGTAATTACGGCTTTTAGCAAGCATGAGGGAGGTGAATGGTACTGAATGGTAAAATTCAGATGATCTCAGTACGGACTCGTTTTCTTTCAGTTTATTTTCGTGAATTTAAATGTGTGCAGCCTTCCGTTTGAGAGGCACCCATAGATAAGCTTTGTTGAACTGAAAAAGGCTCTGATTGAGGAGTCGATTCCCAACACCTCGGAATCAAGGAATCGATTCTTTTTGGATTCAATTCCCAGCCCTAAGCAAAACAAATGGGAAACTGGAGGCGGCCCATTCAAACCAGCGCAGATTTGGCTACATAAGCAGCTTAAAATATCATCTTGTTGTGATGTTGGGTGCCAGAATCGACGTAATACAGCCTCAAATTAGAAATTTGAGAAAAACTGACGACAGCTGTGGTTAAACGCGATAAAACGAGCAGACTGGACAGAATCGATCGTCAAAAATACTTGCGTTTGCAGCGCACACTTCTTATCAGAAAAGGTTCAATAAAGTATTGTCTTTTGTTGTTATGGGCGCATCTACAGATTTCTTGCCATATGTCTATGTTTCTTGCATCTCACGACTAACAGTTATGTCGTGAATGAAATAATGTCTGTGTGCATGTGTGTAAAACAACAAACTGACTATTTATATGTAATCATTTGTAGTTGTATATACATTGTTGTGATTAATTGTGGCTGGAACAATAATGTAGCTGTAAAAATAGTTTCCTGCTGAAATTGAAATGTATATACATCTTCATCATGACTAGATAGACACGGTTAGTTTGTGTTTACTATACACGTTAGATGTGATCCACCTCATAGTAGCAATCCTGTCAGATCATCCATCCTTTGAGTGAGAGTGTAACGTTACAGGTCGGCCAATCTGGTTTCGTGGTTAAAGTTAACCTTTTTGACATGTTTCCGTGTTGTTGTTGCTCAGCAATGGCATGGACGCAATGTTTTTTAAAAATTTTTATTGAGCTAACAAATGGGGAATACAAAGACATTTGAATTTGTAAAACAATAAAACCAAATTCTGCATCTTATATCACATATCAATCATGTTTCTAATACATCAAGTATCCTTTTCAGCAGCTTAGATGTCTTTACAGCTTTTCGATTGTTCTGTATTGAAGTCAGAGAGTCGTAATATACTTCAGATCAGTGGAAAATAGTCTACCATTTGGTACAGTCAATATACATTTTGTTTTATGTATATGATATTTCCCTAATAGAATAAGAAGTTTAATTATATTATCCATTTCCACGGCATGGACGCGGAACAGAAGTCACAATGGTTCGGGAAAAATCACAGCTACTTTATGCAGGCTATGTGAATTTTCCTCTGGACTGACTGTTTTAAAACTAATATGGTAGTTAAATAGCCCCTAGACCTCAATTATCGTGAAAAAAGCCAGGAAATTTCAGTTTTGACAATATGGGACCTTTAAAGGCACAATATGTAAGATT